ATTCCTGCAAAACGGTGGAGGGTTCGCCCCTCGTCACGCCATTCCCCGCCTACTTACCGGACGCAGTGCAGGTCCTGGCAAACCCGTCACAGCCACCCCGCCAGAGTACCTCCCGATATTCCGGCATGTCCGATAATCCGGCACCACCTAGGTCCCAAAGGTGCCGGATTATCAGAAGTCTACTGTAGATGCTTGCCCACCCACAAAGGGGCCTATCTCCAATTTACAGGTTGGTAATTTGAAGCACAGAGAGAATAAGTGACTTGCCCGCTTATCTGCTAGTTGTCATTGTGCCCATCTACAGACTACCATCTACATTTTTGTTAGTCTCTAAGGTGATTCAAGACTATTTGTTTTTTAAGTTTATTCAGTTACAGACTAACATGAAACTTTTGTCCAAGGCAGTTTGTGGCGGAAACCAGAATGTAATGCAACACAGGTCATCTGGTTCTTAATTCTTTCTTCTAATTCCAGCAGGGTTCTAGTGGTTTGGAGTTCCTAACTAAGGAGGACAAAAAGCTTTTATTAAAAATGAGATGTTCACCTTCCAAATGTGAAGCAAATATAAACCAACACAGTGATGTCTTCCCAAGTCCAGTTGCAGCACTGCCTCTGGGATGTGTTAATGGGGGCAGGGGATTTCACCTCAACGGGGTATTAAATGCAAAGCCCATTGTCACTTTAATGTCAGCATTCAGTAACTGTCATTCATTTTAACAGTTGGAATAGGTAAGGTAGTGGAAGGCCACAGGGGGGATTAGGAGTTTCTCCATGGAATGCAGTGAAAAGGTAAGGAGAAAATGGATGCAAAGATGTAAAAGGGTGAGAAACAGAAAAGAGAATGGAGAAGAAAGGGAAACAAAGGTCAAAAAATGCAGTGGTCCCACAAATTCAGCAATGCTAACCATGACCCTGTAGCCTGCTCATTTTTGACACCTCATTAATATGTATAAGCAATCATTAATATGTATGATTTGTTATGAATATGTATTAACTGTATTCATATTCAGTTAGAAGTTTCTAGGAGTGTTGCACACTGCACGCAAGTAGCTGCACATGTCACACTGTGCTGCTGCATGCAGCACACTGATCCAGGCTGTTACAACTTGTTTATCAAAGCACCTAATCAGGGACCCTTGTTTTCCTGTACAGGATCCAATGATTTTAAAGATAAAGATCATGAATATTTATGAGAAGGGTGCTTTGAAGGCCTGGCTAACAGTTCGTTCGTTCGCGCCTTTTTCCACCTTGCTTGTGTTTGTGTCACCCTGTCAGTCTATAGTTAGTTAGGGTTAGCTAGATTTCGTCATCGAGTGTGTCCGTTAGGATTAGTGCGTTGGTTCACTGCACCAGCGGCTGGGTACTTGTCCGTGACGGGAGCATCAAGTCTAGCTAGTCATGTTTTGTGTCCAGGTGTGAGGGAGAGGAAGCTGTCTATCGTCAGGTTTTGTTTCCAGGTATTAGAGATAGGTAGCTGTCTATCATCGGTTCCTGCTAAAGAGCAGAAGCCACCTGAAGATCAGCGCCAGGCAAGTCTCCACCAGTGATTCCTGCATCTAGGAGCGCAAGGCCCCAGACAAGGATCATCACCACCTGCCTGCACCACACCCGTCCCCAGGGTCTCCGAGGGATCGCCTCTTTGTTCCTCACTAAGGGCTCAGAAGGAGCCTAAGGCTTGAGGACAAGACCACCGCAGAGGGTCACCGCTGCAAGGGATCGCCTCCTTATCTTTCACCAGAGGCTTTCAATTAGCCAAAGGCTTGAGAGACAGGAGCTTCTCACCCACTGTCAACTACTGGACTGTGTAATTATTGTATTTTGTGTAACCTTGTGTTTGTGGGGTACTTTTCTATCTTCTTTCCTTCTTGGGGTTGGGAAATATTACTGTTTACCTGCCTTTCTTGTTGTACCTTTAAAACTTTTACAATATATGGTTTGGCCCCTTTAAAGTGAGCAACGTTTTTATTTACTGCGGCATTCTTGGGTCAGCAAACACCTATGATAGATAAGGTTTGGTGGTATCTGCAACTTCTACTGAGGCTTAATTAATAATAATCAGATGCAAATTTAGGTACAAGCTTCCCTCAGTGTAACAACACCAAATAAATGTCAAGTAAGTTTAGCTACCTGACACAGGTCATACTGATATCTGTGCAAACCTCCCACTAATGTCAGTGTGTGAATTAATGGTAGCATATAGTCCCAAACATTAGCCTGGCCCAAGGACAAGTGTGACCCCTTTGATATCTGAAGTATCTATCATCTTGGAAGCATTTAAGAAAAATGTTGTCCTACTCTAACAGAATGGTATTTAACTCTTAATGCTCCTCTGTTTATCAGTGATAGATGTTGCATAAATTGCAAGGTTCGTCCCATGGAGGCTAAGTCAATTTGCCCACAGAAGAGAGTCACACTTTTAGGCTGGGTCCAACTCAATTTTATTGGTTGCAACCAAGGTTCGGCTAAGAAGCTCAGTGCTCAAAGCAAAGCCGACCTTGGGCGTTGGCTAAGCATCCTTTTTTATACTTTCTTTAACTTTCTTATCTAACTTGGTATGTCTTGATTTGTTCCCTTAGCTTCGTGTTGCAGTGTTATTGGTTAGCATATTTCGACTCTATTCCACTCAGTAACAACCACCAGTATAGCTTACTTAAGCAATAGCAATTAGCAAATTTCCCTAACTCAAGTAATATGTGTAATCTAGTCCTTGAGAAATGGGTCTAAACAGCTAGTTCCTCTACAGCTTCTAAAACATGTGCAATCAGCTAAATGATACGTGCTGTTTCAAGCTTAAGTAATGGAAAGGGGAAGAAGCACACATAGTTTTTACTATATTTTACTACATAGAGATGCAGCCGTGTTAGTCTGGTGTAGCTGAAACAAAAGACGGAACTATGTAGCACTTTAAAGACTGACAAGGTGGTTTATTAGGTGATGAGCTTTCATATTGATTTTCATATTGATCTGAGGAAGTGGGTCTGGCTCAGGAAAGCCCATCACCTAATAAACCATCTTTGTTAGTCTTTAAAGTGCTACATAGTTCTGTCTTTTGTTTCACCTCTGTTTATCAGAGAGCCTGAAAGGGTATGAAACAAAATACAGGACTATGTAGTACTTTAAAGACTAACAAGATGGTTTCTTAGGTGATGAGCTTTCGTGAGCCAGACCCACTTCCTCAGATCAAATAGTGGAAGAAAATTGTTACAACCATATATACCAAAGGTTACAATTAAAAAAAAATGAACACATATGAAAAGGACAAATCAAATTTCAGAACAGAAAGGGGTTGGGAGGGGGGGAGATAAATGTCTGTGAGCTAATGATATTAGAGGTGATAATTGGGGAAGCTATCTTTGTAATGGGTAAGATAATTAGATCCTTTATTCAGACTCAGGTGTAAAGTGTCGAATTTAAGCATGATTAACAGTTCAGAGGATTCTCTTTCAAGTGCAGTCTCAAAAGGCTTTTGAAGAAGGATGCAGGTAATTAAGTTGTTGAGACAATGTCCTTTTTGGTTGAAATGGCAAGAAACTGTTTTTTCTTTGTGATCCTGTCTAATATCTGTTTTGTGGGCATTGATCCTTTGGCGAAGTGTCTGAGACGTTTGTCCAATGTACATAGCAGACGGACACTTTCGGCACATGATAGCATAAATTATATTTCTGGATGCGCAGGAATATGTGTTCTTGATCTTATAACTCACTTGGTTAGGTCCAATAATGGTATCAGCAGAATGAATATGTGGACAAAGCTGGCAACGGGGTTTGTTGCAAGGGAAGGTACCAGGGTTGGTATTAGTGTGCTATGTCCTGTGGTGGTTGGTAAGAATCATCTTGAGGTTAGGTGGTTGTCTATAGGAGACTATGGGTCTGTCTCCCAGAGCCTCTTTGAGTATGGTATCCTGTTCCAATATAGGCTGTAGTTTATTGATAATGTGTTGGACAGGTTTAAGTTGGGGGTTGTAGGTGATGACAAGTGGTGTTCTATTGTTGGTTTTCTTGGGTCTGTCTTGAAGTAGATGGTTTCTAGGTATTCGTCTGGCTCTTTCAATTTGCTTTTTTGTTTCTCTGGGT